GGGGAGTGCGAAGAAGAGACGTTGAGCTTGATCTTTCGAGGGCTCCTTATAGTCTCTTAGTTGTGTTGAAATCGTTGCCATTGAATGCCCCCCTTTCCGAGACCGTCTCGGTGGCCTTTAGGTAGAATTCAAGTTCAAGGTGGCAGGTCGATTGATGGATGGGAGGCAAGGTCGAAACTCGTATATTACAACAGGATAGATGACTGGGGCGTCTCAACCCCGTTTAGTACAAGAGACTATTTACTAGAATACAGTGTCGTCGTCACCAGGCTCGTCTCCTGGTTCAATGAAGGCATCTTCCAAAAAGTCCAGACATCCAGACTCGCATCCCCTGTATTGAAGCGGTATGAGACCACCAGTATCTGCTGATGCTATATGCTTGACCCATCGATACCGGATCTCGGCAGGCTTGATAAACGTCTTTCTGACGCCAACCCCATGTTCCCTGTTGGGACAAACCGAATAAGTGAGGTCATATTGTGGATCGTTTTCTTCGTGTCTTCGTCGGGGCGAAACCGGGTCCAACATGAGAGATGCGTCGAGGGAAGGAGCATCAACCAAAGATTTCTTTTTGCATGTGGCGCTAAAGTATTTGATATATTCGTCCGGCAAGACGCCAGAAGGTGGCTCTGGCATGCTTTCTAATGCCGTCACTTGACTGCCGGCAGGGAACGATAAGAGCACCCTGATACATAGTTCCGCCAGTGGTGGAACAGTACAAAAGGTCTCTAATGGTGACAGCATGTGTTCGTGAGGGTCCTTGGCGTCGGGACAAGGTAACCATTTATTGGGGTGTAACCCGAGCTGCTTTAGTGGAAGCCTTTCTATTTCTGAAGGCAGAAATTCGATCTCGTTTCCACCAATGATCAGCTCGGTGAGATTTTTGAGAGCACCGATGGCGGGGGGGATAAACTTTAATCTATTTTTACCTGAAAGCAGTGTAAGCTATGCAATACCCTATCACTCGTGGATACTCACGCAAAGCTAGAACGGTAAGGTTTTCGACTCGAAAAAGCTCGACTGGCAGTGACTTGATACTGTTGACGGAAAGGTATAATTGAACAGGAGTCATCCCTGGTTTTGCATGGTTCACGATACTGATTGCTGTCGTGCTAACGCGCTGCATGGTCCTTGCTGCGGACGGACTACCTTGTTCGGTTGGGAGTGACAACGATCTGGGAATGGGAGACGTTGGACCAAACGACTGCAGTCGCACAATTTTTGCAAGGCTCTCCACCTCGGGGGAGATAAAAGTAAGGCCATGATCACTGTCACACGATCAGAATCGAAAATAGATGATAAACATGTTCGCCGACCTTAGATCGATGACATTCTCCAGGTCATTATCCACCAATCGAGAGATGTTCTCTTCCCATATTCTCTCCTCTCTCTCATAGGCCGTCTCCTTGCGCGGACTCCTGGGCACTGCAGCAACATATTGAGGGGGAGTGCCGAACGGACTGCTTGTAGCCGGCAAATGACGGGTACCAAATGGACTGCTGGTGAGAGGCTCCTGCTCACGTCTGACCCGTTTGTGGTTTACGGGGCTTGAAGTTGGAGAGTGTGATGGGGAGCGTTCCCGCTTGGCAAAGTGCGGTGGCTTCCAATAATCATTGGGTCGTGAGGTCGAGAGCGCAGAAAAGGGATCTCGGACAGGAAAGGGCACTGACGATGGGGATACAGGAGAAGAAGAACGAACTGGAGAGGTTGTGGGGGATGATGAGGGGGGGAGTCGGTTCCAAGAAGCCATTGGATTTGGACCCCATACTGGTTACCCGCGAGTGGTGAACTCGTTGCACAAGTGGTTTGGCTCTCGAATATTCTTTTCGAAGTGATGACACACGCGAGCTAGTCCCGTAAAGGAATACGGATGACTTTTTGGCTTTCTGCGCTCGACACGCTCCTCTACACGCTGACCGATAACGCTATCAACGTATATAACTGGACTGTCAGTTTTCTAAACGTGCTGAATGTCCGTTTTGTGCATCAAACGCCATGTTTATTTTTTTCTGAGCACCTGGCCCGTGTACCCGCTTTCTGGATATAGCCGAAAAATGTCAACAGTGTGATTGGCCGCGCTACCGCTGTCGGGTGTTTGCGAGGACCATCGGTGAACATATCTATGTGGGCCGAAGCGTGGCGTCTAGCCGCTGCTCCTAATCTTAGACTCCTCCCACAACATGAACAGGTTCATGTCTCCCGCTCTTTTCTTATTTCTCGGTATAAAGCTCGCGCAGGCGAGCTTGTGGGACGATGGATTCGATGCAGACATCCTGGGCGATTCCCCTATTGCCCCACTTGTCACCCCAGCACCTGAAGGCGGCTACCATGAAGCTCTGCTGAGGGAATCCTTTGGACTACCACCTCTCAACGCAACCATCGGAGGAGGAGTTTTCCATCGTCTCGTCGGTCGACAGGTATCTCCGATCAAATGCGCCCATACACCCCGTTGATCCCATTATCAGGAAATTTGTGAACGATGTAATGAAAGCACCCCCGCCTGCTGTCGCACTGGAGGAGGCAACTACTTCTGCTGTCCCAACTTCACAGACGTTTGCACTACAGAAGGTTGGTGTTGCCCCCAGGGTACTTCGGCCTGCCCTGGGCTGCCCAATGGTAAGCATGAGACGCCCTGTCTTGTCACAAGCTAAGCGTGTAAAGTTTGCAGACTCCCTGAGACCCAAACGTGCTGTGGCACAGGCGTTTGCGTTCGAGGAGCAACGTGAGTAAATTCCGGAAAATCATACCATCCCAAAGCTAACTTGACTTGAACCCAAGTTGTTGTGGTATGTAGCGTCAACTAGTATCCGTGGAATGTCCTCACCCTACTCAAGGTTCTACTTGCTGCCCTACTTCACGAATCTGTACTGGTACGTTGTGTTGCAAGGTACCAGCGCTTGATCGCTCACCTGTTCCAAAGAGGATAATAGATGTATAATTCCGGTAAGTCTCCTTAGCGAAGATTATTTTTTCTCATTCTCACCTGTATCCAGGGTTCTGAGGTATCGTATATCCTTTCATTAGCCAACCATTCCATCTGATGGCGAAATAGACGAATAGCTCTACGATAACTACACCTACACAAACTTCAAGTGTTAGTCAGGATTTACCAACTTCTAACTCCTCTATACCCATAGAAACCTCCTCTTCTGTTCCTGATGACCCCCCTCCCGATCCTTCTACGTCTATAACGATTTCATCTTCCGTTCCTGATGACCCCACTCCCACTGACGATCCAAATCCTACCGATGACCCCACTCCCACTGATGACCCCGCTCCTACTGATGACCCCATTCCCACTGATGATCCCGCTCCCTCTGACGAGCCCACTGTATCACTTCCTATGGACACAGACACGTCTGCTGACGTTACCATCGATGCTGTTACACAGTCTAGTATTTCCATTGACCCACCTACCGACCCACCCACCGACCCTCCTACCAACCCGCCTACTGATTCCGCAACAATACCCGTGACTGACCCGCCTAATGATCCACCACAGACTTCCGTAGTTGTAGACCCTCCCTCCTCAGATCCGCCATCGAACACCGTCCTCCCGTTCGTGGCCACCGTAAGCGAAGAGCCCAGCAGTACTGTTATCGTCGAGACCTCGGTCTCAAACGGAGTCACGCGTACCGTCTCTCGTACAGTTGCCACGAGTCATAGCACTGCGACGAATGCCAATCTCCAACTAGACGGGAGTGACGCTGTTGCAATGGTTTATCCATGGGACCCAAGAATAGTCTACAGCCCGGAGGGCGCGTGGACGTCGACTTCATCCTCTAGTACCGTAGGAACCTGCCATAATGGAACCAAAGTTACCACTCAGGCTGGTGCTACCATCCAGTTCTCATTTGAAGGTCAGCACTCATCTCCTAACAACCCCCACAAACCTGAGCTGACTTTGATATAAAGGCAAGCAGATAGCTGTGCTCTCCTGCAATGGTTCCAAATCTGGTTCCTTCTCGGTACAAGTCGACGGAAACCCTGCCTCCACTCTTAATGGCTACCAGGCCCCTGGGCCTGACGGAGATCAGTGTATCATCTCCGAACCATACAAGAGTGATGTGATGGCCGACGCTGCGCACGCTATCACTGTCATTGTAAAGGGTTCTACTGCTGGTGGAAGCTCGGACGCGACCCAATTTGAATTTGGCGGATTTGTGTACGTATATCAACCTACAAGAGATTCATTTATACTAACACCTTGCTAGTTATCGGGGTATTCATGCAACTGGTACGAAAACAGATTCCGGCAAGAATCTTCCTGCTATTATTGGCGGTACCATTGGTGGCGTTCTTGGAGGGATCGCGATCATTGTTATTATCGTTATTGTCGTTATACGTCGCAGGCGTAATAGGCGAATCGATAATGCACCCGCAGCCCATCAACAGCCAGCCCCAACTCCAGCCTTTACAAACCCAACGTATGTTTCTGTCCCAACAACCGAATATCATGACCCTTACGCAAGCTCGGGGTATGGGCCTCAACACTACCCTAACCCGACCGGTTCCAGTTATACTGGCGGCCCACCACCATGGACGCAAACCAGTCAAGGGCCCTTCGGTTCTGGCTCCTTTACCCCTGCACAAGGCAGAGCTTACTGATAAAATATGAATGATCGAACAATTGTCTTTTTCTTTCGGTTTATCCAGCCTCTTTTACTAGGACACTACTTTTCTTTTGATATCTGTTCGGGTACAGGTGGTTATGTATTCTATCCACGACACTCACTTCTAGATATTTGTTGTGCCTTTTTCACGTTATAACACTCCTTTTTGTTAAAGATGGATGTTGAAGCTCCTCAGAACGGAAGAAAGCGGCGCCGGTCTGCTGAATCCAAACAGGCAGGTACGCGCACTATCTCCGACGCGACAGGATGTAGTCTTGAGATTCCATCTCACACCAAAACAGCACTAGCTAACATTGTAACGTCAAATACGAGCAAAAGAGCATTTGCAGTCTTCGATGATGCTGACCATGTAGATGAGGGCGAACTGGATATGCCGCGAAAGAAGGCACGCAGAAGCTCCACCGTTCTCCAGGAAGTTTCTCCACGTATTCTCAACACGGGGGTATCTTTAGTTCGAGATGCATCCTTTAGTATGCAGCACCAGCACCAGCAAACGACTGCTCCTTCCCTAAAGAACCGCGCTGCATTCAGTAACCCGAATCTTACTCATGAGTTCCGGACTCAGGGGACTCAGGGGAACCAGCTCCCTCAGAGCACCCGTGCTATGCTTTTATCATCGTTAAATGATGGTTTGATGTCTCCGCTTCCTCAGCCACCCAATCGCTCGTTGCCTAAAGCTCGCAATGACGAGAATCGACCCGTTTCGACTCTTTTAGGTTCTCCGTTTCGGCCCACTCTGACAAAATCAAGACAATCTAGTCACTCGAATCGCCTGAAACGAGGACTCTTACACCATCCTTCAGACGGTGCCATCCCTCGCTACCCCATCTTCAAGCGAGATCAACACAGAAGGCCTTCTGATATATATGTGCGCGTTCGTCGGGATTCTTCTCTTTCTTATAAGAAGCACCTGTCTCCACCTAAGAAGCCTGGACTCAAACGCGACGATTCCTTGTGGGCCAATTTGCAGCAAAGTACATTCAAGACTCCACCAAAACGTCAAGAATCACTTGATTCTCTATTAATTGCTAGTTCTGATGCTACTATACTTCCGATTCCACACGAGCCAATTCACTTGGACACGCCTCCCAATGAAACTGACCAACTCGTCGCAGACATGTC